CTATTTGAACATTGATTTCTTTAGCTTTTATAGTTGTGTTTAAGGTTTATTTTATTGGATTCACATACAGACTGGATGTAGACTGTTTGACCAGAGGAGTCCAGTCAAAATGAAAAAGATTCACCTGAAAATCAGAATCAGAAAACCTACGAGTACCACAAACTATAACACAGAAATTAAAATGTGTATAAATTAGTGAAAGTGAAAAGAGCTGTACGGTGTTGAAAGATATTTTTCCAGTTCTCTTAACCAGGAACTCAGAGAGACGAGGCGGTCCAAGTGGATACAAAAAACCGTGCTGGTTTATTCAAAGGATCACAGGCAAAATTAACATTACACATCCAGGTATCTTTCACCTCCAATACTGCGCGCAGGCAGATGAAGAATGAAAGACCCCGAACCCAACAGGCCTGTACATTATATCTGGTTTGGGCTAACCCCATTCTACACAGCGACGTCAAACCGTGGCGTCACCCGATATGCCAGCTTTACAGCTGACCGTAGCAGTAGTCAAAACATGGAGAAAATCAATGTGTGGGAATGTTGATAAAGTGGTGTGTATCTAAAAACATACAGGACATTCAGGGACATGTCTGGACATTAAGCCTAGGACGATATTATGATTAAGATTACGGCTGAACATATCATAATAATAACAATAATCATCCTGCCTGACAGTCAAACTTTTCTATCTAGTTATTCTTGCCCATGTACATCCTGCAAAACTCATGACAATAACTAAGCGTTTAAACTAGACATCCTGTCTCCACTAAACATTTCTAATACAACAAATATCTAACCAATTTCTATCTGACTAAAAAAATACCTAACAGTGTTATGCATGTATGGAATGAACAGTCAAATCTAGCAGCGGTTTTTGGGATAACTGAGGTTAATCAAGATCCTTTTTATTAGTAATAATAGCAATGCCCTTTCCCCTTTTCTTAAGAATGTTGTCAATGCGCATGTCAAGGAAAATGGACAGTTCCCAATAATTTGATTTGATTAACTTCATCCATTCTTAATAATAAAAAAAACCTTTAAAATTATATCATACAGTGATTTTTGTGACTACAGTAGGTTTGAAAAAATTATTTTAGATTGTGTGTTTGCAGGTCACAATGCACATTAATCAACAATGACAATTTAAACTTTTGTCCACAGCCCCACATGACAAAAAACTGTCAAAATGGTTTTAAAAAATCAAGTTAAATAAAAATGTAGCCATAAAGTTACCATGAAAACACAACAAAAAAACGGAAGGAAATGTAACATTATAAAAACAACAATACTCTATATTTAGCCACATAGACTCATTTTCTACACTTAAGAATTGCTGTCCAGTTTTTGGTGGCTTTTTTAAAGCTCTGTTTTGTGATTTGATGTCACAGTCATGCAGATGATCTCCAGCTTCCAGCTCCTACTGCTCACGTTCACCATCAGAACGACACCCTCATATCCTCTGACATCTGAGAGTTCATTTGCAAACAGATCTGGAGTGTCGGGAAACAGGCAAATCCATTAGCAAACAAAGCCACACTGAGGGCACCAACACCTGACAAACTCAGCATGATCTCCTCCCTTCATTCCTCCAGTCTCACCATCACTAATCTGCTAAATCTGTTGTCATTTGTTCTTCATTCACAGGGTGTTGACAACACAACCTCCCTCCTCTACAGCCACACACTGCTTCTCTGGAGTAGTCCATGTCTGTCTTCCACTTGTTTACATGTGGATTAAATCATCAAGGACCTGAGTCAAGATAGTGAAAACTCCCACAGTCACATTTTATACAATCTCAAATGTCATGTTTTAGTTCATAACCCATAGATTATCTAGTTTACTATAACATTTGAAAAAGAAATGTAGCAAATTCTCACAATTCTCTTAAAGTATGTGAAATTATTTTTTGCTTTTTCCCCAGTGTAGGAAAATGATTCAGGCAAATCTTCAGTTTGACTTTGATGAATTCCAGCAGTTAATAGCAGCAACTTCTTGCTTGAAAATTGCGCTGTTTGATATTTAGATGTGATTATGCAATTATTATTTATTTGGTATTTAATAAAAATAATTTCATTCTAATATATATTGGGGTTTGGAGGCAGATACCAATATCCCTGTCTGAGAATTTACAAGTCTGTTCTATTCCTTCACCAGTTCTGGGCAGGAAGCTGGTAAAATCTCACCAATACCATGCTCTTAAAATGTTGAACATGTTAAGTTTGATTATTTTATTAAAATTATTCATATCCGTACATGCCTAATCAAGCTCCTAAGGTACTCAATGAGATGCTGGTTCCTCCCATTTTTTCAGGCTTAAGAACACATGGTATGTTTATGTCTAACAGTGATGTGCCCTTTAGTAAATCATTTGAACAGATTTTTCTGTGCGGGATCAACATATGGATAATTTTGAACTCAAATGTCTCGAATTGAAACAGCTGTTAAAGAAGGATCAGTCATGTAGCCATGGCTCATCTGGTGCTTGCCATTTTCTAGTACTGGTATTCCATCACTGTCTTTGCCATCTTCCGCAGCTGTCTTGTTGGTCTGCACCGTCCATATGTGAGCAGTATGGCTGAGCCTTCACCATGACCTTGCTGGCAGTCATCAGCTCAGTGTTATCAGTCACTTGGTGTCTTCAGGCAAGTCAACAATTCACATAAAGCAGAAGCACCCCACCACCCCAGGACTGAGCATACAAATAGCCAAGTTATTCAGTGCCTTAAAAACCAGCGGATTAAGCAACTGGGGGTCTAGAAAGACCTCCATACAGCCCCAGACTCAGGAGTTAAGCGGCCGTGAATGAGATGTGGCGAGTCCAAAACAAAGCTACTGTGTCACTCATGCAGCACTGAGGGTAATGCTGACGTCACGGCTCACAAAAGAGGCGACACTGAGGCTGTATAATATAGTACACCATGATCACAGAGTTATTTTTCTCTGTTTGAACCTTGTTAATTCAGTCAAAATATCCACCAGATAACCTGCCAAGTCTTTTCTTTGAGAAACAGAGAAATACATTTGCACTGTCTAAGTGGAGATCTACAATTTGATCCATTAGGTAAAATAAGATATAGGCTCTCTCTCTCCTCATGGGTGGCCTGGTTTGGCCAGAGGAGACAGGATTGCAGGCTCTCGTAGTGGTCTCCATGGGGATGAGCAGGACTTGGGGTGGTATCCGGCTTACTGGAAACGTCGTTTATTGTTGACTTTCAGGATAGGGAGGGGGCTGCTGCTCTGCCTGAAGCGAGGGGGTGGAGATGGAGTTAGGTGTAACACTTCCTCTAGTGTGAAAATTGGCTTGGTGGGGTTTTCAATCATCGTTCAGCTCACCTCGCAGATCACATGAGACAAGCTGTGGCCCTGCACCTGCACGTGAGGAAGGGGGGAATCCTCAAACTTATAGGGCCTACTATAAACAGTAGAAGTATGCAGATATTTTACTAAAGTAAAAGTACAAAAACATTCATGTAGAAATACTCCAATTTAAGTAAAAGTCCTGCATTCAAAATTCTACTTAAGTAAAACTACAGATGTATTATAAAATAAATGTCAATAAAGTAGTCAAAGGTAAAGTAGTCATTCTGTCAAATGGCCCCTGTGACTGATATATTATTACTGTGACAAAACAAAAATAATCTGCATTCAAAAATGACTGCTAAAAGCCTTTCAGACTTGACAGTATGAATTCTTAGTTATAAATATATGATCAGTGCTTCTAAATTGTGTTTTTCCTCTAAGAAAATTCCAAGTACATTAACACATTCAAGAAAAAAAACAAATTTCCAGCATTTATGGAAAACAAATCCAAAGTTTATCAGAAGAAATGTCAGATAAGGTCCCTCAAATGTTCTACTTTAGTTCCCTCTACTGGCTGTGTAACCTTACAGAACACACACACAAACAGAAACGCTGTGTTTTCATTCCTTGTGGGGAGTTTAGAGTGACTTACATTCATTTCCTGTAGACTTATCCTAACCTTAACCATAACCATTACTTGCCTAACCCTAACCCTGATCCTAATTCCTAAACTTAAACCATGTTGCCACCCTAAAATTCAGACAGGTCCCCACAAGTATGGCCGAGTCCCCACAAAGTGAGAGTGACTTACATTCATTTCCTGTAGACTTATCCTAACCTTAACCATAACCATTACTTGCCTAACCCTAACCCTGATCCTAATTCCTAAACTTAAACCATGTTGCCACCCTAAAATTCAGACAGGTCCCCACAAGTATGGCCGAGTCCCCACAAAGTGAGTGTGTTAAGAGGTTTTGGTCCCCATAATGTAAGTAATACAAAGGCACACATACATTCTAGTTATTTTTGTCCTAAAATTCTTATATTGTTTCATTTCAAACACTGTTTGATTCAATTATCCCATAATTCACACAATGTTAAGAAAAAAAAATGAATATAAATGTATCAGAACATTGTTTTTCTACTTTTATTAAATTGGAGACAGTGTTGCGGTGGGTAGAGCAGTCATTTCCCAACTGGAAGGTTGAAGGTTTGAATCTTGGTGCCTGCAGTCCACATGTCAAAGTGTCCTTGGGCAAGACACTGAACCCCCTGCACCGCCTGTGATGGTGGTGTGTATGCACACAGCGGCCTGGGGCCCTCGGCTCCAAACAAAATTTTGTCACAATGACAATAAAATAAAGCTTCTTCTTCATCTCCCAATATTCATCTCATGGCTCCTCAAATTTATCTGGTGACCTTTAGAAGGGTCCCGAGCCCTTGGCTGGGGACATTGGATTAAATTACATAGCTCTATATAAAGTAGCCTACTTTACACTAGCTCCACCTATAGCACAGTAAAACGCTGCTGAAACATTACTGCAGAATGAGTAGCCTACTTTCTTACTGTTATTCTAACTATATATTTCGTATTAATACCTCTGTAGAGTAGTTTTACATCTGTGTACTGGCACTATCTTTATGGCATTAGTCACTAAACTACAGGGAGAAGTATTTTGTGTATTGGTCAGCTATAAGTCAGCTGACCAATACACATGTGACCTCTCCGTCACATGATTTCATCCACTTCCTCTGTTTCTGTTACACGGAGACAAAATTTCTCCTGGGGCAAGTATTAACGCTACTGTAGTACACTATCACCATAAAACGGCATTGTGGTTAATTTTAGACAACTAATGAGGAAATACGTTACGGGCGTTTAGAGGAGAATTGCAGGTTTGCTAAACTCGATTATATGCGGTAGTTTAATGCACCTCGTCCCACCTTGCGTGTGTTCTGTGGAGATGGAGAGCATCACGGTGGTGGCTGAACAAGTTTAAATTTCTCCTGAAACAAGTCGGACGGTGGACTGAGTGTATGCCGAGTTGACGGTTGGAATTAATTCATTCTCAGAGGTCTGTCATCTTTCCCCATCAAGGTACGTAAATGAGGGCAGAGCTAAGGACGCCTTGAATTAGTTGTTTTCTGAATGGAGTTTGGCATTGCCTTTTCACAGCCCGAATATCGGTTTTCCAAAGACATTCAGTAAAAGTCTACGTGTGCAACATTTAAAAGACGACGACTGAGTAGATTAATGGTCTTTCTGCTTATTGCAACACTGTCCAAAAACGTCACGAGGTCAAAGTCAACTGCTGCACCTACTGTGATAAGAGTTCAGAGATAATTTCATACTGGTGCATCTGTGGTAGGACAATGGATTTCCGGGGATAGAGGTAAAGTGTGATCCGCTGGTGATCATCAAAAGCCAAACAAACGGCACTTGCAGCAACGCTGAGCCAGGCTTTTAGAGGTCACATTTGCAAAGCTTGAAACATCAGTAATGTACACACAATATTTTATTTTCATCCATGCCCCTTATATATACACCGCTGCCAGTTTAATAGGTACACCTAGCTAAAACTAATGCAGTCCTGTAACAAAGTATCCTTCATGAAGGTGGCAATGTTCAGTTTGTGTTCAAACTGTTTCAGAGAGGTGTTGATTCAGCTGTGTGATTATTGTGGAGCCTGCAGTTTGTGCAGCTGTTGAACGGCATTGTGTTGTACTAACAGTTGTTATTATTTTTATCATTATTTTGGAGTTACTATGGGGCAAAAATCATACATGGTAATGAGCCAATGTAGACACAGACATATCCTGTTAAACATTTTGTATAAATCTTCCAGTCAAACCCGTCACTGTTACATAATGTTACATTTTCATTCATTCATTACATCACTGAGGCTGCAATTAAAAATAAGTGTAATTGCAGCCTCAGTGAGAAGATGAAGAAAGCCTCACAGCATCAAACGCATCATCAGGTCTTGATTTCAGAACAAATAACAGATTTAACAGCCAATAATGAAGGTTAATTTACTACAGCTCTCCCAACCTGGCATTTATCATTTGTGTTTCTGTGACTAAGATAAGTATTTGATTTGTTCTGCTGTGTTTTACAGTCGTCTAACGCAGTGGGATGAGTTTTTAATGCAGAAAAGAAAGAAAGAACATGCCGACCAACAAATCTGTGTCTGACGCTCCCATCACTCAGTTTATCAACTGCAGAATACTAAAAGACCACAAACTGCAGAGGTACATCTCAGGCTTCACCAGTTTATACACAAGTTATGAGTTTAAAAAACCAAGCAGAGAGTTTGTGTGTGTGTGTGTCTGCAGAGAGGACCTATGGGTGCGTGAAGGGAGGATTTTAGATCCAGAGAAGCTGTTCTTTGATGAGCAGGGTTACGCCGACAAACGTGTGGACTGTGAAGGCAGCATCATTGCCCCGGGCTTTATAGATGTCCAGATCAATGGTACACACACTCACACACACACTCTGCATGCTGATACACTAAGTAGTTTGTCTACAGCTCATCTTTCACCATGATGTTGTGCTGCATTCAGGGTATTTCAGAAACTGATCCGCCTGGAGATAAAACAACAATAAGTCCATTGACAGATGATTAATCAGCGGCAACTTTGATGATTGATTTACACACAGTGCTGCAACTAACAATTATTTTTCAATTTTGATTGAAATATATTTATGATCGGTCAACTATTCTTTAAATCTACGAACTGTCAAAACAGTAAATAAAACAAGTTCTTAGAGTCCATGCTCTTCATGTCTTCCTTTGTTCAGTCAATGCTTCCAACTCAACATTCTTCAGCCAACTATGATATAAAACAGGAAATAAAGAGACTCTTCACTTGGAAGAAATGGGAGTCAGTAAATACTTGGCATTGTTTGAAAATTACTTAAAGAATTAATAAATTATCAGAATAAATAAATGATTTTATAATAAATAATTAATACATTTCTTTTAGTTTAATAAAAATTTCAGCTGCAAATTGTTTAGTAACATTTTAAGCAGAAATGCACATAATTCACTCGTTTCAGCTTCTAAAATACAAATATTCACCTTTTTGTCTCCTGTGATATGTTATGTACCAATATAGTGTCTAAATCCAATGTCGGTACCAGTAAACTGGTTTCTAATAGGCAGGGTTTCCATTTATAAATAGCTGAGGATGTACATGTACATAGGGCAAGGGGCTAGAAACATGTTGTCATGATACCTTACATACAAACATTCCCTAGTCAGAAGTAAAGCAGCTTACTCGGAACCTGTGAAATTGTTGTGTAGAGGTCAATCTATGTGTGGCACTCAACATGACATTTCCTAAATTACCATAGACACCTGTCAGCTATAGCCAGCTAGCTTGATGCATGGAACTGGAGCGAGAAATGGCAACTAAATCAGCCATATAAGTTCCACTTGACATCAGCCAGAAGCATCCTCAGAAAAGGCATGTTAGCATAAAAAAGTAACTTTAGGATGTCTGTGTGATATTTGTGCTGTAAGAACACAGACAACCCTTGTTCCAGATATTGAAGTAACAATGCCAGCATGCCTGTAAATCAGAATATACCAAATGCTTCATATACTGAACATCAGATGTGTTACATTAGTGCAAAAACTCATAGCACTGCAGTATAAACAGGCAAACGTTCATTCATAATAAACTTCAATATAACCATACGTGTCTTATCTGTATCTGTAATATTTATGTCTCTCAAAAATCATAAGCATAACAGCATAATGTGTTTGTATCCAACGTATCAGCAGGCATCAGGCTGTTATCCGCACTGACGCCCTAAATGCAATCCAGCAGATCATCAGTATTGCCTGTTAAATGAATCAAAGAGAATGTTTGGATTATCCAGGTCTAATATCAGATTTTTCACTTTGAGCCAAAAGGGAGACATTGAACATTTTCCACCTATTACTACTGTGTTTCATGCAGTTTATAAAACAAAAACAGCTTCTCCTGTTGATCATCTCCTCTTAAGCCCTCGGTCATTTTGTTTAGTTTTGTTTAACCCTAACATATGCAGACATCTCACAGAAATACTGAGTAAACTATATTTACTGGGGAGTAATGAGACTGATGCAACATATGGAAATACCTAACTTCCTCAGTGAGATTTCTTATACTATTATAGTTTCTGGTGAGTCGCCATGACGGTCACAGATATGTCCTCTCCCTCCAGGAGGATATGGCATCGACTTCTCTCAGGCTTCTGACGACATCAGCAGTGGAGTTTCTTTTGTGGCCAGAAAGATTCTGGAGCACGGTGTGACGTCCTTCTGTCCAACTCTGGTCACCTCTCCTCCGGCAGTCTACCACAAGGTAACATTACTCCCTCAGCTCTGTCATCAGGTTGGATATCGATGCTAACAGTCTCCTAGTGATCTTGACTTCAATGATCAAAACAGTGTTCTTTGTAGTTTAGCTTTTTTTTTTTAATAGGGATGTGCATGTGGATGAGACCTGTATTCCTGCCTGAAGCTGTGAACCTGATTTACAGGTGACCATTGTGCTGTTGTAATGGGCACACTAAGCACTGAAAGAGCCTAAAGACCTGCTTCCTGACTCAAAGTCTTGGACTTGATCTAAATTACCTAAAACCGCCCAGGTTTTGTGTAACTATAATATTTGTGAAATGAAACTGTTGGTCTCCTTCTAATTACAGAATCCCACCATAATCAAAATATGTGTTTCAGGTCCTCCCTCAGGTCAAAGTTCAAAATGGAGGACATCATGGAGCTGGAGTTCTTGGTAAGATGTTACTTTTGCAGTGGATGTGTACATCAGCTAACGTGTAGCTTTCTGACTTCTCTACTCTGTGAATCTCAGCTCCAAGTCCACTGGTTCTACTGTTGACATAAATCTTTATTAGAACTATAGATTCATTTCAAAAAGGCTGGACACTGTAAGCAGGAGGGAATGGTTAAAATAAACTAGTGTGTGTGTGTTGATGGTAACCAAGGAACATGTCAGTCAATGCAACAGCAGGAGTCACTGATGTGTTTTTAATGGTTTTTAGACACCACTTGAGTTCTATTGCACAGAGGAATGAGATGCATCACAATACTAGTTAGTAGGATACATTTACTGTTAGTTTTGGTGTTTTCCTGAGGCGTGTTGACAGTAACAAATAAATATATTGGCAGCCTTATCCTTTAAAATGTTTTACTATTTCCTGCTGCTGCATTATAGACTCTCATTGGGACTGACATTTGATTCACTTCCTGGCTTTGTTTTCTTCAGGTTTTCATCTGGAGGGTCCGTTCATCAGTGCGAAGAAGAAAGGTGCTCACCTGGAGCAGTATCTTCGTACCTTCCAGTCCGGGGGGATCGAGGACCTGATGGAGGCTTATGGCAGTCTGGACAATGTTGCCATGGTGACCCTGGCTCCTGAGCTGGCCAGCAGCCAGTTGGTGGTGAGGGAGCTTTGTCAGAGGGGCATCACTGTGTCATTAGGTGAGCAGCTTTTACTCAGCCACATCCGCAGTAATGCAAGAACGAGGCAGACCATGATTAGACTGATCTGACTTCTTGAAAGCTGATGCTAGTGTTTGTAGAGTGGGGCGGCTGTGGATGAGGAGGCAGAGTGGGTTGTCATCTAATTGCAGGTTACAATCTTTCAGATTTCAGTCCTGGTTGATTCATTGCTGCTACCTGTGGTTACCATGGAAACAGCAGGCTTGGTTTTTTTAAAGGGCCCATGACATGTTTTTCCTTGTTTTCTGACTTGTCTACAATGTTACAATGGTGAATTATCATCTTAGACATGACCTAAAGCTAAAAAAAATGACGTGCATGTACAGTATGTTCTAGTATTTCTATGCAGAAGCAACTGGATTTATACACACCTTGCAAACTCTCGCTCGTGAGACTTTTTTCTCAATGAAAATAAAGTATTACGTGATAGTTTAAGGATCTCCTTCAATGGGCATAAAATCCAGGCCGTTGTGTGTTCATGCGAGCTACCTAGATGTCCATTGGTGCCCCCACCATAGTGGCAAAATGTTACATTGCCTTGTTTATTATGTGTATTTTCAATAAAGCTTATGTAAAAAAAACAAAAAAAAACATGTACCAGTGCCATTGTAAAAACAAAATTTTTAGACTGCACCTGGCTATGTGGATATATTTTCCCCCCTGCTGCTGCACTGTGACCAGAGGATGTGGACAAAATTACAGGGCCTGAGGTTACTGCAAGTCTGGGAATGTTCCTGTACAGGGACCCCCTGTTTTACCTGACCAGGTCTAACCTACAAGCAGCCGGGCAGTGAAGCCCCCTGCTGCAGTGAATGATCAGCTCATGAACACTGGATTCCCCCAGAGCACAGTACCTGTTTGTTTTGACTGCTTGAGGCCAGTGTGTCTGCCACGTGTTGTGTCGCTGGTTAACAAGCGGATTAAAGAGCCATGATGTTATTGTTGGTGCCACACTACCTTTTTGAATTAATTTCACCACTTTGGGACTGTGGTCGTGTGGGGGAAGATGCAGTGACGACCGGTTGGATTTACTGACCTTGGAGCTACAGTACTTTAAAGGGGGTGATGTTTCCACTATTCGCTGGGACTTAACTGTAAGTTTAAAAAAAACACATAGCTTGTTTCTGTAATGTTAGAGAGAATTGTTGTAAGGCTGGAGAAGCTGTTTACCTATCTGTGGAGGAAGAAATTCAAATTAATTAATTAATGCTGTCACAGTTCGTTGTGCTGTCCACTTGCGACACAACACCAGCTGCAGGAGTTGTGCATGTTCATGAACTATCCTCTTGTTTTAAGGAAGAGGCTACTGGGAGTTATGAGGGGTGCCAAGCTAATCTAGAGGTACCCCAAATTAAACATTAAATAGTTGGAAACAAGCAAAATGAGCAGCCACGGGCTCTTTAAACTCTACTTCTTCTTGCTCCATTACTTTTTCACATATTTAAAACTGATCCACTGACAAAAATAAACAAAATGTGCATTGTCTTGTTGTCAGTGCGAACTTCTGGGACAAATACATTGTGTTTCCTGTGACTCCTTCACAATAAATGCTCCCTTGTGTGTTGTCAGTTGAAGTCTTTTAATGTGAAACAGCAGTACTAGGAAACATTGTGTTAACATGAATCTGATGCAGCTTTTAAAGACTGAGGCTGATATTAGTTATGTTAAATTACAACGTTAACACTGATAGACCTGAAGGAAATTTGAATCCAGTGCATAAGTGGCAGATTAAGCTTCTAACAGTGAAAATGATTAGAGAAATGAATGTAAATACATTGAACTGCTAATGTTGAAAAAATGATGACCACAGCTAGTATTAAAAATTGGAAATGAATTCACCAAAATCTAAGTGATTTTAATTCTAAATTAAGAACATTGTAATTTAGGCTTGGTAGGTCTTTTTTTTGTGTTAAAAGAGGAATCAGTGATACTGGAGAAGTTTGAACTCAGCAGCCAAAAACCCATCCCTTCAGTGCTCCTGAAGCAATGGAAAGATGTTGTGTCAGTTAGCAGACCATGAGGACATATTCACTGAATTTGACAAAAAGTGTACTGGATTAGATTCATTTACTGCACCTGAACTCGAACTCTATTAATCCTACTGCTTGTTACTGTTTCCTGTGATTGTAGGTCACTCAGTGGGCAACCTGTCCCAGGCTGAAGAGGCTGTTCAGAGTGGAGCTTCCTTCATCACTCATCTCTTTAATGCCATGCTGCCTGTGAGTTCCACCTCCTCCTTCATGAACTAAACTGATTTTAACATGAAGCAGTGTCTGCCTGTGACCTTGCCTCGTGGTCTCTGGATTTTTTTTCTCTTCCTGCCTTCTCACTTCGTGTGTCCTCTCTACGGATGCTGTCTAATAAATGCATAAATGCTAGGGAAATAATTTTTAAAACCTGTCGGGAGGAAACACTGAAGTTTACGAGTGAAGTTGTACTTTGTGTGTATCATTGTACTTGTACCACTCGCCTCCTCAGACCAATACATAAGGAGCACCACAAAATCCAGGCAAGGTCTGAGCTATTAACCAAGACATGCATGATTTCAAATCCAACTCCTGCTGTAAGCAAACCCTCAGTGCTTCAAGACAATCTTCTCTTAGACTTTTTGTTGTCACTCAGACGTAATATTTAATGGTATGCCTTATTGTCTTGGTAGTGTAATAAGTCATAACTGTCCCATTATGCCATTGTTTTTGTTGGGTCCAGTTCCACCATCGGGACCCTGGTATAGTGGGTCTGCTGACCAGTGATCAGGTTCCTGCAGGCAGGACAGTCTATTATGGCATGATAGCAGATGGGATCCACACCAACCCCGCTGCGCTACGCATCGCTCACCGAGCCCACCCTTCGGGTCAGTAATTGTTGCTCTCTTTCATTGGTTCTTTGCTTCTACCTTGGAGATACCTGTTTTAGTGACTGTAAAAATCAATGTTTGTTGTTTTCAGTACATATAAAGGTTAACCGAAATGCAATAACTGTTTCTAAAAATGGTACATAATTGTGATTCTAGGGACATATCCATTTCCTGTTGTTTAGGTGGAGTTGGCTTCAGGGTCAGTGTTTCCAGTCTTGTCCAGTGTATAACTGAATGTTTTCATCATGCATCTTCTCTTCAGGATGCCAGTGCAGGTCCATAAATATTAATTTTGTCTGTAGCTAGGCTGCGGTGGATTAATTACCCACTATGGACACATCGTTAGTTGTTCTGTTATGTGTACATTTGATGACTCCTTAAGGTGAACACATTTTATGGACCAGTAGACCCAACAAGCCATTATCAGTACATGTAACAGCTGGTATTTTCTTAGTTCAGCCTTTCTGCTTTCCTCAAGATGCTCAGGGAGGTCATAAAAATAGAACAGGCTGTCTTTTGTTGTTTCTCTCATTGTATCTTTCATGATAAAGCAGAATGCAATTTACTGCCTAGAAATAAATGTTCTCCTTAGCAGTCATCTGATGTTAAACATCCAGGACTCCTCTGCAGATATGTGAAATATGGAAAATGATTTATTTACATTTCTAAGGAACCTGAAAGTGACATTCAGTGGGCGTATCCCAAGTCTTTTTTTTTTTGAGTGCTGCTTACCCTTCCATCTTTGCTTGACCTGGAAGTCGTTCCAGTCAAGGGAGGCTCGAGGACATCTCAAGACTCTTAAATCTGCTCTGAGAAGCGAGGAACGAGGAGGCTGCTGGAGGAGCCAGGAGCAAGAGTACACAAGAGTGTCATTTGCAGAAGTCTTTTGTGGACCAATACCCCTTCAGATGAGGGATCAGGGATGTCTCATGTGTGTATAAACGTGTTTCCTCGCTTCCCCTTATTGCTACCCAATGTGTTGCATGTTTTCCTCCCATCTTACATGGGCGGGACTACGAAGGAAAGGACACAAGTGAGGGACTGTCTCAACAACTATAAGCTGGATTGACATGAAGTATGATTCAGACATTCAGGATCAGTTGCACTAAGGTTTCATGCAGTGTTATTTTGAGCAGGAGCTGATGTTTGGGTTGGATTCAACACATTCCACTGCATACCTGTCTGAATACAGCTCTGCAAAGACCTCATACTGTACATGTTTGTCTGGTTTTCAGGTTTGGTGTTGGTGACAGATGCAATCACAGCGATGGGTCTTCCACCTGGTCGTCACACTCTGGGGCAGCAGGTCATCGAGATCCAGGGTCTCCACGCTTATGTGGCAGGTCTCAGTGACTTTCCATTGATAAAATAAATGAAGTAATGACACACTTGTAGAGCAGCATACAGAATGTGTAGCTGAACACTGAAATGGTAGACCTGCAAAATGACAAGTCTGAAAGTTACATTATATTCCCTCCACCAGTCTGTTTCAGGCCTTATTGATAAAACTTTGAGTTTTGATTCAAATATCTGTATGTTGAACTCTATTATAATTTCACTCTTGCTGTCTCTTAGGCACTAAGACCCTCAGTGGCAGCATAGCCACAATGGATATGTGTGTACGCCACTTCAAACAGGCTTCAGGTAAGTGTGTGCAATTTGGCTTCTTGTTCACATCACAATGGATCAACATGTAACTTCTACCAAGTTAAGGGAAGATTAATGGCAACAGGAGGATCAGTACATCATATAAAAACACGTGGTGCCAAGACTCACACCAGCTACTCTGTCTTTAATGCAAACAAAAATACACCAATTTAAAAAATGTTGTAGAAATTCTCCTGTAAAGTGGGGTTTTAATTTTTATGCTTTTCTATTCTTTCTGTTTTGTTTCAGGACACAGCTCTGTCAATGATGTGTAATTGTAAAAACACAGCTATGGATAATTAATGAGAAATTCCAGATTATAATTTTCTGATGTTATTCTTCTCATATCTGTGAGATTTTATGGTAAAGTTATATGTTTAACATCTGAGTGGTCATATGGACTCTGATCATCTTTATGCTGCTGACCTGAAGTTATTACTGCTTCAAGGTGCAGCCATATTTGCATGTTATTTGAGGGTTTTGGAGACTTGTTACTGGACAGTCAGTTGATTTTCTGCTCTTGATGTTCCATATATTGAACACTGCTTGGCAACTTTATTTGGGGATGGAGGTCTGCATGTCTGTGTGTGCATGTGTTAACAGGCTGCAGTGTAGAAGAGGCTCTGGAAGCTGCCTCACTTCATCCAGCTCAACTTCTGGGTATCGGTCACAAGAAGGGAACCTTGGACTATGGCTCAGACGCAGGTCAGGATTTATTGCATCAGCAGAGCGAAAAGAATCAACATGTCTGCAGTGTCTAGATAGCGACTGCTGTTAGACATTAAATCAGTTCATCTTGTGTGTGTTTGATATCCCTTTAATCCACACACATCTTTTACAGACCTGGTTTTACTCAGTGATGCCCTTAACGTCAAAGCCACCTATATTTCTGGAGAGGAGGTTTGGAGAAAAGAGCCATAGAAGAGGAAGAAACCTGCTGATGGAGACTGGCCTGACAGCTGGCACCCTCTGCGCCTTCAGGGGACGCAGCATCCCACAGGATCGTCTGTTCAATATTTTGATTCATCAGAACACACAGTGACATCTTCAGTTTTTCTACATTGCCTTTCTCTATTTGAAAGTATTAGGTTTAAGTATTTCAAACCATGCTGGCGTTGTGATGCCACAGTGGCAGTCAGTCTTCAGTCCAGAGTGAAATAAAGACTGATGGATGCTTTACTTGTTCCCCCGAGGGTAAATTCTTATGACTTTTTTTGACCTCTTCTTTTAGTGCCACCAACAAGTCGGCAGCTTCCATTTGTTAAATGCTTCAAGAAAATGAATTCCCATTAGCCTCAGTTGTATTTTCAAAAGCATTCAACTTATGTGTGTAGTTTGTGCGCTCTGATGTTGACATGGCATCAGTCTGTGTCAGAGGCAGGTCTGATGTTGATTTAGAAAGTCCTGTACTGCAATCTTAACTTGGGTTTAGATCTCCTAAAAGGCCACTGTACAGGGGATAAACCCCTATGATTGAGGATACATGACCTTTCCCCAAAGACAAAATGTACAATAGCAGAGATATGGCCACACAATTCATCTATCTGAAGTATTGCGTTTTGGTGTGTAGTGAGCATTACAGCCTCACAGTGCTGTTAGTGTGCCTATAGACTGTGTCTTGTTTGACTGACTTCACTGACAGAGCATATTCATTTTCTGTATTTTTAAATCCAGTATTGACAATCAGCTCCAAATCTGACTCTTACCTGAATATTGCTATATTTTAAGATTTATTCTTGGTGTCCCCGTTGCACAAGTGACAGGACATATGAGGGTTTTTATCATTGATTATTTTATTTACCTAATTTTAGATGTTTTACATTTTATTTTAATCATGTTACATGGATGTGATATAAAGGGAAACATTTCGCAATTAAAATAGATTGAAATAAATCAGCTGTCACTGATTCGCACTGTAACATGGTGGTTCCTCTCCTCAGGAATAACTGTAGCTATATTATGAAGTTTAGATGGATTTCTGTTGTTAACTTGGAAGAGGACTGCAGAGCTGTTTACTCTACTGCTACGGTGTTTTGAAGACGACACTTGAATTCTTCTTTTGTAACCGGGGAGGTCGATATGTCCTGACTGCTGCATGCTCCCCGTGTCCTCTCTTGAAAATGTCCCTGGATTAAAAAAGTGGCCAGAAGAGGAAATGTGTTAATGTGGACACAATAATATGGAAGCTATGGGGAAATTACTTCAAAATAAAAGAGCAACACATCCCTGAATACAGAAGTGAATGGTGTGGAGTGAGATTTTAGGTGGACATCAGAACATTTTTTTTGGGTGAACAGTCTGAAATAATGATTATATAATAATAGGCTAATATTCAAGATATTGGATTCATTCATGCAGGCATTCATGAAACTAGGTCTATGTTTTTGGAGGATATTAGCCTAAATATGTTCCCAGATTGTAACAGACATGTGGTTTGTAGTTGATTGCTTTACACAGAAATCAAACTGTATATGTATGTAGTAAAAGAACAAGGTGTTTGATTCATGGCAGTTTGTATAACAAAAAGTTGCAACTTGCATTGGTTACTAGGGCTTTTATTTTGAATAGTTTGACAGGAAGTGTTCTCTATCCCCTGTGACTTGACAGTGATGGTCAGAGGAGACCAGTGGTGAGTGTGCTCATTGCTGCTTAAATGAACGAGGATGCCGGGAGATCTCGGGCAGCTGGCAGGAGCATTCAGCACATCGTGTCCTCTCTGCAGTCCGGTAAGTGCAGCTCTTCACAGTGCCGCTGTTTGCATTCACATCCTCACGCTGTTCTGCAGTTTCTCAGTCAGCTACCAGCTGTACTGCAGGTGCACCAGGTAACTTCAGTTTCAGCAAGGGAGCATCTGCATTGAGGAATTCAGTTGGGTGCATACCTCTCTGATTGCAAACCACAGAACAAGTATGGATTCAGTTTTAATTCTTGACATTTAAAGTGTAATGTATTGATTGTTATCTTTTCATTCAGTGATAAATAAAGGACACAACCAGACAAAAAAGGAGACAAATGCTATGAGATGTGATACTGATTTCATATAAGTAGAGCATTTTGGCATAGATCAGAGAACATATATCTTCTTATCAGTGTGTCCTTATCCAGAGTGTTTGGAGCTGGAGCTCCTGATGCTATCACAGAGATCTGAAGTCCTTGTTCAAGGACAAAACTGTGGAGAGAGCAGGAAGGGGGCTGAAGCAACCAGATGCCAAAATATAACATGTATGACATCTGTCTGATCCAAGTCACCCACTAATGTAGCTTTGATAGTTTGTTTTTTCCTTCCTTGCAGGGCTGATGCTACTTTGTCCCTGTCAGTATACATTTTTTGTTGTAGTTGGTCAAAGTGGAGCTAATCCGATTAGCTTTTTCTACTGCCTATAACAATGCATAATTTCTAGAAGTGTGTGTAAATGTCAAATAGATGTATGTTTGTAAAGCAGTTAATATCAGTAATGCAGTGCAGTAACAAGCACAGTATTTTCTAAAGCAGCATAAAATGAAAATATTAAAGTGGTAAGTACCTTAAAATTGTACTCAAATACAGTACTTTAAATGTACTATACTTTGTTAGTTTCAACTAGTACTCATGATTATTTATGTGAAAATACATTACTTTTTTGCCATTTTATAGAGCAGTGTATGCCAAAGTGCAGGCAAGAGGTCATAATGTAGCCTATGTGAATTTTAATTTTGCCCTGCATTTTCCATAGGGGCACATTCACATGGAATTGTTTTGTTTTTGAAATTAAAGATATATAGACAAATACTCAGTCTTGTGTGTTGATCAAAGTTGTGTTTAAAGCTTTGGGTGGGCTGCAAAAAGTTTTCTGATTTCAAATTGGGTTGTAGCATTCTTAAGTTTAGCGATGTCTGTTATACAGTATATGAAAAGCTGAAGACTTTGTAGACTCAAGAATGGCTCAACAGCTGCAAAAATAGTGTGGAGTTTTAATAAAAGGCTTGTACTTCTTACGTGGCTTGCTCATAAAACAATTGTTAAAGCGACCAGTTTGCTTCATCAACAAACCGTGTAACCAATAAATTCCACATACTGCTGCTGCACCACAGTATGTGTGTGTGACTGAAGTCTGGTCATGGTACATGTTTTTCTTCTGCAGCACCGGCTGTTGTTTGTTGAGTTCATCACAAAATTGACTGTGTTTTTGGATAAATTCATTTTATTTTCTTATTCTTATCATTTTTCATAAAATACAATAAAACTTTTGTTTACAGTGCACATTCTAGATGCTACAGTGGTTGTTTATAGAAAGTCCATGCCCATTTGTGGAATGTGCATCATGTGCATCCTTCCAATAGTAATATGAATAATTGTCATTAAAACCCACCCTGCCTCCTCCTCCTACGTCAGGGCCCTTCCACCTGAGTCAGCAGCACCATGGGAAGTTCCTCCTCCTCCCTTGTTGAGGAGGCTGAGGGTGACGATACACCCCGGGGTGCAGCTCTGCCCCCCTCTCCCATCGTGGGATGTCTGAGGAGCAGCCAGAGCACCTTCATCCCTCGGCAGCTCCCCAGACCCAGCAGGCACAGAGAACGCAGGTAGGAGATGAGCACAGGCTGTGAACGGTGGGGGTAAACATGTCAACCAAACACTGAAAAGGTTGTCAGTGACAAGTAGTGTAGTGTTATAAACAGAACATGTTCCAGAGGAGTAAGAAACTCAGTTTAGTGTACCATGATGGTCCTGTAGAGCAAGAATGGTTGAACATTTCAGGGTTTACCAGAGGAAACTGTTTAACATTAGCAGTAAATGTTTGTTTTTTCTTCCAGACATGCACAACTCAATACTGCACAGACAGGTGTATTGGAGATAAAGTAATAGTCCTGTACACAGCCAGCATTTATGCTGAAGGTATTTAGTAACTACGTTCCAGTCAAGTGACCTTACTCAGCCATTTCACAAAGTGCTGCTCTGGTTCAGTTCTTCAAAGTGAATGTGTGATGTGATCCATCAATCAGTCACACCAGTTTCATGTGTAAATTCAGAGCTTCACCAGCAGCTCAGTTCCCACTCTATCTGACCTTCCCATTAAAGCATACTTCATTGCCTTCACTTGGGACAACAGCCCAGTCACCTTTTCTCTGCATTTTCCACAGCACCATGGTCCCAGACTCTGAGGTTCAGACACTCATTCTAACTGCTACACACCTGACAGAGCACCTGGACGGTCATGCTCCATTTAAACCTGTGTAACTACATTATCAGCAAAAACCAGAGATGTAATCCTGAGGTTAGCAAACAGTGCATTCTCCACCCCTCAGCTGAGACTCTGTCCATGGCAGTCGCACAGAGAATTGGCAGTGCATTGACACAGCCGAGTGCTGGACAGAAATATGTCTCAATAATAGTGACAAATGTCTTTTGAGAACTATCCGTGTTCCAGTAGTTCAGTAGAGAGGGTGGTCTGTTGTCAGATTTACTGTACCCGGATAAGTCATAAAAAGAGCCCACTGGAGCAGAACCTGGAGTCATCCTTCTGATTTGAGTTGTAAAACAAACCGACACAGTTCCTACCAAATGTGACCCGGCAGCAGACAACATAAATACAAGCCCAACAGAGGTCGTCTTCCCTGAGACAGTTGTTTGTTTCTTCACTGTCTGTGTAAAACTAATTGATTATGATGATATGGTTTATTAACATTTTAGGCCACACATTGCACCTTTAGTGTGATGCCTGATGGAGGAGATATTTAATTTATATTCCACTCTTGTGTGGACTTCCTCAGCTCGAGTGTGCCGTCATAAATTTTTCATAAATTGGTTGATAATAAGGTAAACTCCAGCCTTCCCAAGTTTTTTTTTCTCAAATCTACACTTATTAATTATTACTGCATCTCTCTGTATTCTGTTGTCTATAGTGCAAGTCTTCTTTGCTGCCACAATGTCCTGGCCTTCATCAGACTTAGTGCCAGCCAGGAGTCAAGTTACCCACTGACAGGAAATGTAATGCTACTGGGGAAATCCCTGATGATCAGACTGTAGACGATGGTCTGGAGATGCACATATGAGCATTGTAAAGAGAAATGCACTATGTTTGATGGATAAAGATCAGAATAGCTTTTGTAAATGATAAAATAGAAAACAGTGGACTAGCATTGATGTCTGACAAATAGAAGAATGCCGATGAAGTTGCTTAAACCAGGAGATTTAAAGTATTTTTTTTTTAAATCTAAAAATCAACAGTTCTAGTGATTTAGTAATGTTGTTTCTCTGTTGTTTCCAGATGTTGCTAATTAATTCACAGCAGCATAAAATTCCCATTTACAACTTCTCAGCATCACCAGGTTCAGGATGAAATACCACTTGAGAACAGTAGCAAAATATGTCTCCAGAATTAACTTCCACCACTGGATTATCATTTACCCTTTAGTCAAAGACTGGTGCTAGTAAAAAAGGAACATACTGTACACTACCAGTCAAAAGTTTGGGATAGTGACACAAAACTGTCCATAATGTGTGGACAGCATAGTAAAGGTAATGAAGGTAGAATTTGTATAAACCACCTGAGTACATAGTAGTGTTTCTGCTTCATTAATCTCCAGTAGTGCTTCGGTGTGGTGGCTGAGCGCTGCATCACAGCAGCACCTGCATCTTAGAGTTTGCACTCCAGTAACTGTCAGGCTGTAAGTTTCGGGCTTGAAGCCAAGCTACTTAGAGCACAGTTAGAAAACGTGAGCCAGGCCCCACACAGATGTCCCAGTGGCTCCTGCAGTCTGAATTTCTCCCTGGATGTGACGGCACACTTAGTCCTTTACAGTGCTTTACCAGCTGGGGCCTCTGAACACATTGAGGACCATATATTTTATGTAATATGGTTTTTGACCCTAATTTCAGTGTATTACAATGAACTAAACACTCTGCACAAGATGTGAGATGATCAGACTGTGGTAGAACAGCTGAGAGAGAACATCAGGAAGATAGGAAATCATCACTCTCAGTGAGGGACCATTTAAAGAGTCGTTTGTGGTGCAGCTTCTTGTATCATTTCCACATTCATGCATTTAAAATTGCTCCGCCAAGCTATAAAAATGCAAGGACTGGTAATGCGCCCATTATTATTTGGACTTTTCCCTCTTCTTTTCAAGCTTCATATCAGTCTCTGGGGATTTTACAAACCAGAGTTCTACTGAAAATGGTGCTCAGTACCTTTAAAATAAGAAATGACAGTACATTAGAGAAAATACTTTTTAAAGCTATACATTGCAAATCTTAGATTGTATGTGAATTGTGCAAATGTTAGTGTGAAATAAATCCAGAGGTTCAACTCCAGCAGCTATGATGTGTTAATATGTAAGAAATGAGTACCAATAACATGTAGGCTACTTGTGTTGTATATGTAATTTTGTTCAGAACAAAATGGCTTCTACAGTCCACAGTCAGTGTTTAGTGTGACCTCCTTTTGCACTTAGCACAGCATTAATTCTTTCGAGGAGACTGTCCTGAAGTCTTGAAACCATGACAGACCCTCCACCATGTTTTACTGAAGGATGCAGGCACTCACTCTTCCACCTTTCTCCAGCTCTTCTTCTCGCATACTATCGATGTTTGGACCCAACATTTCACTCCAACATTTGCGAGCTTTGCATATCTTTTGTCCCCGTCCCCCTTCTACAAAAGTGTTTTCTTGGCTGATGTCCTTCCACGAAGGCGGTTCCTGATCAAGTTTCTTCGGACTGTGGAAGGAACAACTTGGCATCCAGATGAAGCTGCCAGATGTTGAGCCATGTCCTTGCTGGATTTCCTCTGTCAAAGAAGAAACTGAGAAATTTCTCATCAGGTTTTGACAGTTTTCTTGGCCACTATTTTTGTCCTCAACCTCTCCATATTCTTCAGATTTCTTTACATCTTGAACACCACATCTTAAGTATCCAGTTTGTTTGCTGATTATTTTTGATATTGCTGTATTTTTTAATACTGTGTACATATTTTCTATATTTTCTAGTTGTATTCTGATAAAGAGACTAGGAAATAAACATATATAGTCACCATAAACAACAAATCTAATGGTGGCCTATGACTTTTGCACAGTACTGTATAGGCTATATGGAAAGAATAGCATGACATAGTATATAATGTAAAATATCAAATCCATGGTATGATGAAGTATTTACTGTATTTTCTCTCCAGTTTCTCATCTGGTTCGATGCCCATACAGCGGAGCCAGTGGGCCTGTGGCTGCTGTACTTTCTTGAACGCACCCAGTGCCCCCCGCTGCTCCATCTGTGAAGCCCCTCGGGAAAGACCCGACACCCGCTGGATGTGGTATGGGACCGGCGGGGAGGATTTTCATTGGTCCTGCCCACGCTGTACGCTGGCTAACTCCCCTGACAGTCTGGCCTGCTCTCTGTGCGGTTATGCTGAATCAATGGACCGCCCCCAGGACAGATCTGCAGACCAGCCCCGACCTCAGCGCTCCAGCAGCTGCTCTGGTCCCCTGAGGCCGCCATCAACTGAGCCATGTAGGCAGAAAAACAAAAAACAGCCAGAAGATGCAGATACACACAGCCTGGCTTGGGATTGTTTGAGGTGCACTCTGCAGAACACACCCGCCTCCATGTCCTGCTCTGCTTGTGGCGGACCACGCAAACTGTCTCTGCCCCAAATCCCTGCTGAGGCCCTGCTTGTGCCTGAGGGCTGTGATCACACAGCAGCACAGCAACCAGAACCTGCAGCGGGGGCGCGTTCACTTTCCATATCAACCAGAGGAGAGTTTTTTCCTGTGGAAGCTTCATATCTGAACACAGACTCCTCAGCGCTCAGTGTGCCCAATAGCACAGTCCCCTGTATTCGCAGAGAAGTGCCACCTCCAGAAGTCAGTCAGACACACATCAGTCCTTCTCCTTCAGCACTTGCTGTGTCACATCTGTCTGCACAACCGGAGCTCCTGCCAGGCAGACGCCTTAGCACCCTTAAAGAAGAAGTGTCACCGCTGTCACCTGCATCAGATGCCTTTGTATCATTTCCTCCTGCTGTCGTCCTCGTTAACAGGACAGGGGAGTGGTCATGTCCAGCGTGCACTCTCATTAACAAGAGCCAAGCCAAACACTGCCTGGCCTGCCACACTCCTCAGCAACACGCCACACAACCTAAACCAGTGGCGTCCCCGAAGAAGATGGAGAGCACGCTGGTGGAGGTGCTGCGACAGAGTGATGAAGGGGAAGCCAAGGCATTGTGGGAGAACATTGTGAGCTTCTGCAGAGAGGTTTGTATGTGGTTCAGATACACAATGAGATCAGCTTTCCCAAATGAAATGGGTTTTATGTATTCTAAGCTACTCCCAGCAAATACCAGTACACCAACTGCGACTCCAGGTTTGACTGTTTGGGGGTTTCCATAAGGGACGAGGGACCTTTTCTCAAAAAAGCTTATTTAATACGTTATAATGAAATTGGTCATTGTGCTTTATCCCTATATTATTTCCTTGTGCTGTTACTTTATATTAACATTGTATTTTCATCTTCACTGCAAATAGTATTGTCCTTTACTGCACTGCCTTTGACCATTGTTCATTTATATAACAGTATTAACTGTAAATAAAATGATCAATTTTGACCTACAAAATATGCAGAATAGATGGGAGTGCTGTTTTCAGCTGTGAGTAGTAGTGGAAGTCATGGCATCAATAAACTGGAGTGGCCTGTGTGTTGTTTAAGAAGAAAAAACCTGGGGATAAAGTGCAGTTGCTTATTTTTTGTGAACTTGTGGTAATAACTGGCAATACATAATAATTAGACGAGCCTATCAGTTTCTCTCTTCACTCATCTGAAGTTTGACAGCTGGGCAGATTAGAGAGAGTTAAAAAATGTCCTGAAGTCTAAAGCATTTCTGTTTCTGCAATGAGGTACAAGTTGTTTATGTGATTTGATTCTTCTTTCTAAACCATTGTTTCAGAATGCAGTGACCTTTGTGGATGACAGTTTCCCTCCTGGTGCGAAGTCTGTGGGCTTCCCGGTGGACGACAGCGTCCAGCATCGAGTCAAAAAGTGGCTTCGACCCCAAGAAATCAGCTGCTGCACCTTCAGAGACCGTGGGCTAAAGTGGTCTGTTTTCCGCACAATTCGCCCAACAGACATCCTGCAAGGACTTCTGGGTAACTGCTGGTGAGCTGACTCCAAAAAAAACTGTTCAGCAAAACAGAGCACAGCCTAGACAGTCACCCACTGAGAGACTCTGCTCAGCCAGTTTTAATGGAGATACTTCTCATAAAAAACAGGGGAAGTAAATTACTCTAAGGCTTGTGATGCTGTATATGTTGTATCAGTACAATGTTGTGTTTCTGTACTGTGTAACACTGAAGCTGCTGTTAAAATGAAATTACAGCATGGTCCGTTCAGAGAGTGGTAGCTGTGTTCCTATAAACCTCATGAAGGATCCCGTGCTGCTGAATGTGTTGGAAAACAGGTTCCTGAGTGCCTTGGCTGTTCTGGCTGAACGTCCCGAGCTGGTGGAGAAAGTGATGGTGACCCGCTCGCTGTGTGCAGAAGGAGCCTATCAGGTGCGTCTCTGCAAAGACGGCTCCTGGACCACAGTGCTCGTGGATGACATGTTGCCGTGTGACGAGACCGGCCATCTGCTCTTCTCTCAGGTGAAACACATAAACCAAACCAGTGTTTTTTATGTGACACCCCTCCACTCTTTCAGATTACATTGCACTTCTCAGGAGTGTGTAAAATAATTTAAACTAGCTCCACCTTCCTCTTTGATGCATTAGTTGTAATAACTCGGTAATATAGTATAGCATTTACACATTTCAGTACACAGTGTTTACTTGTAAAGGACTGGTTTTATATTGCAGTGTTGTTACTTCCTCCATCACTTATCAACATATACCCCCTGTTTGACAGTTAGCTTCCACTCTCCACAAAAAGTCGTAACCCACGTTTCTTTGTTCAGAGTGGTCTCAGACTGTGCCGAGGCCTCTGTTTACACTGACAAGTCTTTCTGGGCTTGTTTACCAGACCTTGTGTCATGTTACTTTATGGCAACTGGCAACTGTGTGTCAACAGGATTTTAATACAGTGATGTCAATGTTTGTTGCTTATTTCTTCCAAATATACATATAACTAGAATTACTGCTACAGTTGTATACCTCTGCCAACCAGTCAACTTCACAGGTATGGGACAAAAGTAACGCCACTGACTTTTGATGTTTGACCACCAAATGCCAATCGTTTCATCCTTGAGTCTAAGTGGAAATTTGTGTCAAATTTGAAAAAAATCGCTCAAGGTGTTCCTGAGATGTCACATTCACAAGACTGGGATGAACACAAGGCTGTCTAAAGATTTTAATGCAGGGAAATGTTTGTAGTAAGGAAATAAATACTTACAAACTTTTGGCCTTAAATGCCAACCATTCAGTTCTCACAATGTGTGTTTGAGCCTTTCCATATATTTTTTCAGCTGCCTTAGAGAAGAGGGTTCTTCATGATAGCCGCTAGCACAACTTTAACAAGTTATTTGTCCTCTTGATGGAGGTTTTCCTGAGTTACAGAGTAGTTGCCTAAATTTAGCTCAGTGTCTTTTGGGGGTTTCATAACCTGCTCTCACTTTTCAGCACTACCCATACATCATCCCAAAATATTTTCTTGTCTGACAGAGTGATGTGGTTCTTCTCTCTTAGGAGTGATGAGAATTTTGACTGCATATTCTCAACAACATTCCTACCAGAGGGTCAAAATAATGTTTTTATGCTGTTCTTTAAAAATATGGCACCAATGATCTTTGGATATTTTCATCTTGCTTTCTGTTCCTCTTAAATCTCTTATTAATATGTGAGGCTAAGATGCCTCTGCCCCTCACCAGATATGATTTTTCAGCTGTGGTACAGAAGATAATTACTTAACTATAAGAAATCTTCATCCTTTTTTCTCTCTCTCCCTCTCCAGGCCCAGCGGAAGCAGCTTTGGGTAGCTCTGATAGAAAAAGCCCTGGCCAAGCTCCATGGTTCCTACTTTGCTCTGCAGGCAGGCCGCGCTATTGAGGGCCTGTCCACGCTGACCGGAGCCCCCTGCGAATCGCTGGCCCTGCAAGTCAGTGCCACCAACCCCAAGGAGGAGCCCATCGACACAGACCTCATCTGGGCCAAAATGCTGAGCTCCAAAGAAGCAGGGTAAAGGGGTGTGTTAAAACAGTGGGTGCTCATATTATTACATGAATCCTAACTGTGTTTTGTGCTGCTAGTTTTCTGATGGGAGCGTCTTGTGGAGGAGGTAACATGAAGGTAGATGACATGGAGTACGAGTCTCTGGGTCTACGTCCACGACATGCCTACTCTGTCCTCGATGTGCAGGATGTTGACAGTCACAGGTGAGGATACAAGGCACTTTCCCTGGCTTATATTTTTGCTTGAGAAGAATATCCATCTTTTCCTTGGCAATGCACGTTTACTTGAATGGTCACCATCATGAAGTAGGTGGAAATGTTTGTACACCTTGAGTCTCTTTAGGCTGATTTTTATGATGCATATAATGCATTTGCTGTCTGCTCCAGATTACTGCAGCTGAGGAACCCATGGGGTCGGTTTTCCTGGACTGGACCCTGGGCTGACGACTGGCCAAACTGGCCTCCACACCTGAAGAGGGAACTGTGCGCCCAGCGAGCTGACGATGGCCTGTTCTGGATTGACTTCTGGGATTTCATCAGGTAGATCAGGAAGACTGTTGGAAGCTTCACCTTTTTTGGTTGGATGTCTTCTCTAAAATGCTGTTTGATGTTTCAAGAGCCAGAACCTACAAACAGAACATTAAGTGGAAAATGAAATGTTAAAAGTTTCAGCCAGTCTTTTGAATAGATGAGACAACAGGTAAAAGATTTTGAACACAGAGCAGTTTTCATCAGATAATAACATGCATTTATAATAAATAATTTTAAAAGCACAGTGATGATAGAATTTATTGGATTTTCCTGCACCTGTTACAAACCATCTTGTGTAATTTTGCATTGTCTCAAACGCTGCCCCTATTAATGAGTTTATTTACTGATGAGGAGGCAGATATTTTCTCACCTATCACTCCAGAAATTAACAACTTAGTCTGAATGGGACTTTTGTGATATACTGTATTTGGAAGACAAAAATGTATTCAGTAAAAGGCACAGTAAAGTGCTATGCTGTGTAGGTGTGGTCATATGTTCAGACATGTCTGTGAGTGTGTCTGATCCTGCCAGGTACTTTGATTCAGTGGATATCTGTAAGATTCATTCAGACTGGCAGGAGGTTCGGGTCCCAGGTGTTTTTCCTCAAGGGGCTGGCATCCCACTGACGGTGGCTTCGATCACGGTGCTGGAGAGAACAGCTGTGGAACTGGCTTTATTCCAGCAGGGCAGCAGGTAGAGTGACACTCCCAGTCCAACCTGTGGATCCTTCAACATAACTTTTTATCTTACTAATGCTGAGCAATCAGCATGTTGTATTACTGTTGAGGGATATAAAGGTGTTTCATAGGCCTACATTTGAGGTGCACCTCCTCAGAACTGTGGCTATACATCAGAGTTTTGCTGTGTCCAGCACAGTAGAAATACCATGTGGGGTTAACATGACCTGAGCACACAGTTTTTCCAGGTACTTGTCAAATATGTTGGTCCCACATCTTGTAGAAGTT